GCTGCCCAGAGGCCCAGAGCGGCTGGGGGGGGGGGGGGCGGGGTGCGGAATGCCTGCATCATTGCCATGGCAACAACACAAATGTCCTGCCCCAACCCCAGCTGCTCAGTGGCTGTGTATGCAAATTAACCCACCATATTTGTTGGGTTAATTTGCATACTCATTCCTGATTGTCTGGTGGGCATTGTGAAGATATGGTCAAGTTGCATCTTTCTCTTTTATTAGCATACTAGAGGCCCAATGCACGAAATTCGTTCCAGAATAGGCCCTCACAACACCGGCTGTGTCCAGAAGTTCATCCAGATGATCATTCCACTGTTCAGCCATTTGGTCGATTTGCATATTATGCTTTTATTATTATAGACTAGAGGCCCGGTGCACAAAAATTTGTGCACTCGGGGTGGTCCCTCAGCCTGGCCTATGCCCTCTTGCAGTCTGGGACCCCTCAGAGGATGTCCATCTGCTGGCTTAGGCCTGCTCCCTGGAGGGTTGGGCCCAAGCTGGCAGTCAGACATCCCTCTGCAGCCCGGCAGCCCTCAGGGGATGTCCACTTACCAGCAGGGAGCAGACCTAAGCTGCAGTTGGACATCCTTAGTGCTGCTGAGGAGGCGGGAGAGGTTCCCGCCACCACCGATGTGCTGGCAGCCATCACCCTGGCTTGTGGCTGAGCAGAGCTCCCACTGTGGGAGCGCACTGACCACCAGGGGACAGCTCCTGCATTGAGCGTCTGCCCCCTGGTGGTCAGTGTGTGTCATAGTGACCAGTGATTCCCAGTCGTTCTGCTGTTAGGGTCAACTTGCATATTTCCCTTTTATTATATAGGATAGAGGCCTGGTGTACGGGTAGGGGCCGGCTGGTTTGCCCTGAAGGGTGTCCTGGATCAGGGTGGGGGTCCCGCTTGGGTGCCTGGCCAGCCTGGGTGAGGGGCTGATGGGTGTTTGCAGGCTGGTCACACCCCCTTTAGGTTGGGGGGTCCCCACTGGGGTGTCTGGCCAGTCTGGGTGAGGGGCTGATGGCTGTTTGCAGCTGGTCACACCCCCTTCAGGGTGAGGGTCCCCACTGGGGTGCCTGGCCAGCCTGGGTGACGGGCTCATGGCCGTTTGCAGGCTGGTCAAGCCCCCCCCCCCGTGGGGACCCTCACCCCATGGAGGATTGACCAGCCTGGGCGAGGGGCTAATGGCTGTTTTCAGGCTGGCCACACCCCTTTTAGGTTGGGGGGGTCCCCACTGGGGTGTCTGGCTAGTCTGGGTGAGGGGCTGAGGGCCGTTTTCAGGCTGGCCAAGCCCCCCGGCGATGGAAGCTACCAGCCTCTCCTTTTTTTCTTTTTTTATTCTGGGATTTATTTACCTTCTATAATTGAAACTTTATAGCCTTGAGTGGAGCTCAGAGCCAGCCAGGGCAACCCAAGCCTCCTGCTTGCTCCAGCTCCATGGCTGCAGGCCACCATCTTGGTTGAAGGTTAATTTGCATATAGTTGCTCTGATGGGCTGGTGGGCATGGCTTAAGGCATAGCGAAGGTATGGTCAATTTGCATGTTTGTCTTTTATTAGTGTAGATATGTTAGAGATAAGGAATTTGGCTCTGAGAATTGACATATCCAAGTTACATAGCTAGTAAGTGCAGGCTAGGATTTAAACTTAGGTTTTCAAATTCCCAGTTCTGGTACTATTTCCACTATAGCATAGAACAAAGAGATAGAATATGTTTTGGAAGTTGTGTCTAGGAAAGGGTAAAGGCACCAGCAGAGTGAAAAAATTGTTACTGCTAATGACAGGGTAATTGATAGACTGAGGCCTGGAAGAATGTGGGTGGGATTCGTAGCAAGAGTGGAATGGTAAAGAGATGGCCTTGGCTCCTAAAGATAGCATTAGCCCCTTATGGACAAGAGGAAAGGTGAAGCTACAGAGATTTTTTTTAAACTATGTTTATATTGATTTCAGAGAGGAAGGGGGAGGGAGAGAGAGATAGAGATAGAAACATCAATGATAAGAGAGAATCATTGATTGGCTGCCTCCTACACAGCCCCCACTGGGGATCGAGCCTCCAACCCAGGCATGTGTCCTGACCTGGAATCGAAACATGATCTCCTGGTTCATGGGGTCAATCCTCAACCACTGAGCCATGCCGGCTGGGCAAGAGATTTTAAGGTAAAAGGGGAAGTTGAATTGAAGGCCACCTGGTGTGATAGTGGCATGGGATCCACAAAAGATGAACAAAAGGATAGTTGAGCAAAAGTGACTACTCAAAGTGGTCACAAATTTATAATTCATTAGCTCTCTTCAGCAGCTTGGGAACTGGAAAAGGGAACAGTGAAAGTTGTCCAGAGGCCAAAGGGTAAAAGGCATTGGGGTTCCTAGGGTGATAAGGGAGTGTTTTCATGTAATGGCTTACTATTATAAGAAAAGTACACATCTGTAGAATTCTGTATAAAATTTTAGGGTGTTCAAGGACCACTACCCCCCCTCCCCCAAAAACCCTCTGTCTAGGACCTCAGGTTAAGAACTACAGATTTGGGTGAACACCTCCAGAGGAGCTTCTGATTCTGGAGGGCTAGAGTGGGGTTTCAGACTTGGATATTTCAGGATACTTCTTTTGGAAGCCATGGAATTTTTTTCTTGACTCCTCTTTCTCTCAAGCCCTTACGTTCAAAAATTAGCAAGTCCTGTTTTATATTTTAAATATATCCATATCTCACCGCCTCCCTATTGCAAATCACTATCTTTCACCTGGATTTTGGCAATGTCCTCTTACTTGATTTCCCTGCTTCCACCCTTTGTTCCCGCCCCCATGGTCTAGAGCAACTGTTCTCAACCTGTGGGTCGCGACCCCTTTGGGAGTCGAACGACCCTTTCACAGGGGTCGCCTAAGACCATCGGAAAACACATATAATTACATACTGTTTTTGTGATTAATCATTATGCTTTAATTATGTTAAATTTGTAACAATGAAATTGGGGGTCACCACAACATGAGGAACTGTATTAAAAGGTCGCAGCATTAGGAAGGTTGAGAACCACTGGTCTAGAGCAACAGTTGCCAACCGGTGGTCCGCGGACCACTGGTTGTCTGTGAGTTCCGAAAGGTTGGCGACCGCTAGTCTAGAGTCCATACACAGCAAGAGTGGTCCATATAAAAGAGTTTTCATGTCACTCTATTCCTGTCATGTATTCTATCCAAAAGCCTTCAGTGGCTTTTGCATCTCACTCAAAATATCATGGAATTTGATTTGTTGGGTCTTATTTCCTACAGGGTTCTACAAATTATGGCCCTGGCTGTATATCTGACCTCATTTTCTGTCATTCTTCACTTTATACTAGTGCACTGGCCTCCTTGCTGTTTCTCAAACATGTCAGGCCAGTCACTCTTCCACCCAGGACCTTCTGATTTACTTTTCCCCCTTAGAACAAATACTCAGAAGGAACCCAAGTTTTGCCTCTCTGAAGCTGCCTTTTTGGGATATTTATTTTAAGCTGTTTATTAAGAAACAAGACTTGGAACTTTTGATCCCCCCGCCCTTTCCTGCCCAAGAGATTCAGACAGAGATCCTAGGATGCAGCTTTAGCCCTATTTGAATTAAGTCTGGTAAATGAGAGGGCTTCCGGCAGGCACCTGTTAGCGAGATATCCTCTGTGTCCCATTGTCTCTGAGTCACCTAGCAAGGACTTCCTTGCCATGCCATGCATGTTCTACTCTTCCTCAACTACCAGTAAATCGCCCATTCTCACTTCTGAAATCTAATACCCCTTCCCCACTCCTTTCTTATTTGCCCAAAAATGTTATATACCCAATGTTGCCTCACTGTCTTTGAAATTTACACACTTAATGTGAGTTCCCCATGCACATCTATTAAAACTTAATTTTCTCCTGTAAAAAAAAAAGAATACCCTTCCAGATATTGACATGGCTTACTTACCAATTTCTTTGAAATCTTTGCTCAAATGTCACTTCTTCAGAGAGGTCTTTCCTGATCATCTTGTATATAATAGCACCACTGTCTTCACACCATCAGTGTATCCATTCTACCTTGGTTTTTGCTTCTTCATAGCACTTATCACCACCTGACTCCTCATCTGTTTCTTTTTGTCTTCTCCCACTAGAACGAAAGCTTCAGAAGAGTAAGGACTTGTATATACAGCTGTATCTCCAGCACTGAGAACAGTGCCTGTCATATAATAGGTACTCAGTAAATATTTGTTAAATGAATGATAGATGAGATACTAGAATGCATCCTGAGAAAGGTAGGCAAGGTGGTTATGAGACTTTATATTAAGATGCATCAGAAGAGCTAGGAATATTTTGCTCAGCAGAAAAGAAAAGATCATTTTTTAGGCTGTTTCATAAGGAATTCCTACATCAGTGGCAGGTAAATGACCCCTAAGATTCTATGATTCTTTGAAGTTCTAATTCCCAAATGGACATTATGTGGTACTAAACACCCAACCTAGTAAAGGTTGATATAAAATGACTAAGGCACTCCATCTCTAAAGAGGATGAGGAGTTGCTCAAATCAGGTTATGTCTATACTTTTCTGGCTTCAGATGTATTTCTCAGCTGCTGCTGATCCCTTCCTTGCCTTGTAGTCTTGAGAGAACTGCCTTGGTGGCTAGTTCTGAAGTACAGAATCTATACTATTGCCAAAGTGGAAATTGGCGTGCTGACTTTCTGGTCACTTGTAAAGCTAAAATCTTTTTTTTTTTTAAATATATATTTTATTGATTTTTTACAGAGAGGAAGGGAGAGAGATAGAGAGTTAGAAACATCGATGAGAGAGAAACATCGATCAGCCGCCTCCTGCACATCTCCCACTGGGGATGTGCCCGCAACCCAGGTACATGCCCTTGACCGGAATCGAACCCGGGACCCTTCAGTCCACAGGCCGATGCTCTATCCACTGAGCCAAACCGGTTTCGGCATGTAAAGCTAAAATCTTACTGTGGCCTTCTTTTGAAGGAATACCTCTTTATTTTTAAGTTCACGGGTAATGCTTTCCTGTGGAACAGATACAAGCAGAAGAAGGAGATGGAGCGTAGGTTGTCTGAAATGAAATCTGCTGTCGAAAGTGGTGAAGCAGATGATGAGCATGTTCGTGAGTATTACCTCCTTCACCTTCGAAGGTGGATTGGTATCTGCTTAGAAGAGATTGAGAGCATTGACCAGGAGATGGATATCCTGAGAAGAAAAGACTCTTCAAAAGAGGTAAGTCTGTTCACTGCTATATAATTCAAAAAACTGCTATCAGAGATTTGAATGTTCTATAGGACAATAATCAGATTTAAATGCTTTTGACTCTTCATAAAATCATTGTTCTTATTAAGTTCAATGGAAGAAGGCTGAAGGTTCACTAAGGTAGCTTTCTCTCTGGTTTACAGTTGTGTTCCCCAGTGCCTACTAACCTGTAACGCACTTTTAGTCATTTGTAATTTTGTGACATGCATCGGGGGAGGGAGATTTCCCTGAAGTAAAAGTTGGTTTGGGCTATGGGAAGTCATAACTGCTGAAGGAGGCATAGGGAGATAGGCTTTTAAAATCTGCTTGACTATAAAGGAAAAGAGGAATAGGATGGGAATAGAGAAGAAAAGTGGAGCTGGAGAGAGAGAGATGAGTAGAAAGAAGATGAATCCCAGTTTAACCATGCATAGCGATGCACACTCACGCCTTTAGATCCCCCAGTATGAGACACAGCAAAATGTTGGGCATACTGGTGAAGAACACCTGGTGCCCTACAGCTTTGGCTGTCTTTGAACATCATGACCCTGTTTTGGAGCTGCTGCTTCAAAAGATTAGGCTCTGCTGCTACTTACTTTTTGGTTCTGATATAAGAGGAATTGAGTTGAATTTATCAGCTGGTCACAGGCATTTATTTAAGTCCTCAGGGAAACCTCCTGAGGTTTTGATTTGTACTAATTAGCCCAGGAGCTTTTGCCTCAGGGTAACATCAACCTACTAGTTCCTCATGTTAAAGGATTAAAGAATGAACAATCTTGAGGCTCCTTGAGCATATCTAGAGTGGTTTTAAACAGTATGAGGCTGGACTCTTCTGGGTCCTCCCCTGACCCTTTCTTTGCTGCTGTTTTTTTTCTTTTTAAAATTTATTGCTTTTTTTAAAATATATTTTTATTGATTTCAGATAGGAAGGGAAAGGAAATCATTGATCAGCTGCCTCCTGCACGCCCCCTACTGGGGACTGAGCCCACAACTCAGGCCTGTGCCCTTGACTGGAATCAAACCCAGGACCCTTTAGTTTGCAGGCCGACGCTCCATCCACTGAGCCAAACCGGACAGGGCTATTTATTGATTTTTTACAGAGAGGAAGGGAGAAGGATAGAGAGTTAGAAACATCGATGAGAGAGAAACATTGATCAGCTGCCTCCTACTGGGGATGTGCCCACAACCAAGGTGCATGCCCTTGACCAAAATCGAACGTGGGACCCTTCAGTCCACAGGCCAACGCTCTATCCACCAAACCAACCCGATTAGGGCTGTTTTTTCTTTTCTCATGCTCTCTCATTTGGTATTGAGATTGTCTCTGGGAGTGATGGAGCTTGAACCAAGTGAACACCTTTTCATTGACCAGATTTTGATTCTTTGTGTGCCTGGATAGCCAGGGTTCCTTGAAACATTTCTATACACCTATATATGAAAACTGCTAACCCATTCTCCCCCTTGCATTTAGGGACATCCACTTCTAAAGTACCCTAAGGGGTTCTTGACAGTTAATAGCATAATTACAGGGTCATAATTGAACTTTAGCACTAAAGGCCAGGCTAAGGAAAGGGACTTAAAATTTATCTCAAGGGATTAAGATGGATCATGGAAGAAGCCTTTGGCATCTCCTTTGGAGGGGGCGCATTTTAAAGTCAAATAATTTTTTACTTGTGGTGAGATGATTCCTGAGTGAGCTTTCTCTTTCTCTCTCTTCAGCAAGGTACTCGGGTGTCCTCAAGAGAGCTAAGCAACCTCCATCATTAATATCTGCTGATATGTCTCAGGGACAGATATGGAGGGAGTAACTGAATTTTGAATCCAGTGCTTTTCGAGCACCTGAAGACCTAAGAGGCTGCACAGTGGGATGGGCAAAGGCAAATACACTTCTGATAGTTAATTTCCTTTTTAGGCATCAACTTCTCATTCATCTCGTCCGTCCAGGCCTCCAATGAAACCCTTTATTCTCACTCGGGATGCGGCCCAAGCCAAGTAGGTAGTACTAAAAAGTAGGGTGCCTTTGCAAGCCCCTTGCTTTTGTGGTTCATTTGCAGTGCATGGTGCCAAGCAGAATGGGCATTATTAAGAAGGCATGACTTTGCCTTGGAGGCTGTTCTTTCATCAAAGGGATATTATCTCTTCTAGTAATTTCCCAGTCTTTGGCCTTCAGCACACATTTCCCTCACAAACCTGAGCTTAAAAAGATCTCAAAAGGAAACTAATAAAAATAATCTGTTAATTAATTAAAAACGAAGAAGGAAGGAATCAAATGGAGAATTGTACACTTTAAAATTTTTTCCCATTGCCTTCAGCTACAGTTCTCAAAACGACATGTTTGCTTATCTGAGTTCTTGAGGTGCTTTTCTGGGGGGTCTGGGGGGGCGGGAGAGAGAGTCTCCTTCCTCTGCGTACCTTTTAGACTCACCAACTATAAGTACCCTTTTCACAGTATCATCGCTGCTCTGTGGGGCATTGGCCTCTGGAATTGCTTATTGGGAGATTATCCTGGGCTATTTATCATCTCATGAAAATACTTTAATGCCCTTTCCTGGATGCCTCTTTTTACATATCCTCACAGGAGTTTGCACAACTCCTCAGAAGATGCCTGGTTAGGGGTGGGAGGATAAAACAGACATAGGCTTTGCCACTAAAGAGAAGAGACTTTTTAATAGTGCTATTTATGTTTAGTGTCCTAAATACAATGTGGTTTTTGCAGAGTATTTGGAGCTGGTTATCCAAGTCTGGCAACCATGACAGTGAATGACTGGTATGATCAGCATCGGAAGTTGGGAGCTTTACCAGATCAGGGAGTAGCCAGGACAACATCAGGTATGACGGGCTGGGAGGAAAGTAGTTACAGTATGGTTCCTTATTTCCCCAGGAATGAAATTCTGACCAAATATCACTGTCCTTTAGGAGCAGAAGTAATCTGGATAAAGATTCTGAGTAACATGAAGACTTAGTACTTTATTTCACTTACTAGTAAAATAAATAGCTGATGATTCTGGGAGGATTGGGGCAGTGGAGAAGTGTAGGTTTTGAACCTCTCCAAATATTATGGCATAAAAACAGACTGAGCAACTAGATAGTAAAACCAAAAATCCACGGATAACAGCTCCGCTTCTGGTATTAGCAGAATAGGTTGTATTAGGTTAGCACCTCCTACAGTTAACAATTACAGACTGGAAAAGCTATAACTAAATAACTACCTAAAGGCACTGGAGAGTGACCAAAAGCAGACATAGACTGGAGGTCAGTCAACACTTAGAAGATAAGAGTGGTACTTGGAACTTCTTGAGGCCAGGGATTTTGACTTACTGTATTCTTGGTGCCCAAATTGATAATTAGATCATAGAAATACTTGAAGGTGTCTTTGGGAGGGAAAGGTGAAGGGTGGTCTTTAGAAAGATGAAAGTAATATGGTTTTAGCAGAAAAAGTACAGACAGAGCTGGGGTAACCAATTACTCCTGTTACTTGGTAGGACATCATGTAGCCTCTCTGAGCCTCAGTTTCCTTATCTCATGTATTATCTCATTTGATCTTAATCCCATGAAGCAGACATTTTAACCACGTTTTAGTATGAGGAAATAGTGTCTGAGAACTGACATATGCAAAGTCAACATAGCTAAAATGTGGCGAGGCTAGGATTTTAATTCAGGCCTTAATATTCCAAGTTCTAGGGCTGTTTCAAATATAGCACAGAGAAAAGAAGCGTGGTCAATTTGAAGAGTGGTTTTTCTGTGTGTGTTTTTTATGGCTTTTCACCCATGGGCAGGCTACAGATGCTGTGATGGGAGTAGGTAAAATTTGGATAGAAACTTACAGTCTTATTGGTTGTGCAATGAGAGAACTGAGTTTGGGTGACTATAGCAACTGAGAGGTGAGAAGAATATCCCAGAAAGAAGAGAACCACAGAGGAGGAGTCCTAATTCTTTACATAAATCTGCCCACATCTCTGGCTGACTCAAGCTCCACATGCATAGGATAGGTTCCAAGCACCCTAGGGAGGGCTAAAATAACTGAATGGAAAATGCAGCTACTACCCAATGCAGAGGAAATAGAATTTGGAATTTGGTTTTAGATAAATTAACTGCCTGCTAAAATGAAAAATCAATACTCTAGTGGAATGAAACAATTCAGAATCTGTATAACATACCCATTTACGAAGTCTTGTATTCAATCATAAACTAAACATATGGGGAAAAAAACAGAAAAATGTGACTTATACTCAAGAGGAAAAGCAATTGATGGAAACCAATCCCAAGATGACTCAGATGTTGAAATTAGCAGACAAGGACTTTAAAGCAGCTTATTTCTGTGCTCAGGGCAGAGGGGAAAATATGCTTGTAAAGAATTAAAAGATAAGATGTCTCAGCAGAGAGGTAGAGACTATACACAAAAAAATCTGGAACAAAAAATATGGTATCCGAACTTTAAAAATCATTGGATAAGCTTAAGAGATTGGAAATGACAGAAGAAAGTGTCAGTTAACTTGAAGATAAATCAACACAAATTAGCCTATCTGAAAAACAAAAACGATTGGGAAAAACATAGCCTCGCCAGGCTGGTGTTACTCAGTGGTTGAGCGTTGACCTGTGAACCGTAAGGTCATAGCTCAATTCCTAGTCAGGGCACATATGGGCACATGCCTGAGTTGCAGGCTTGATGCCCAGTAGGGGGTGTGCAGGAGGCGCTGATCAATGATTCTCTCTCATCATTGATAGTTCTCTCTCTCCCTCTCGTCTCTCTGAAATCAATAAAATTATATATTTTTAAAAAACATAGCCTCAGTGACTTGTGGAACAATGTATAAAGGTCTATCGTACATGCAATTGAAATACCATACCAATAGAGAGGAGAAAGAGAGAGAAGGGGCCAGAAAAAAAATTTGAAGAAATGATGGCTGAAATTTTTCTCAAATCTGTGAAACACAAATATACAGATTCCGAAATTGCAGAAGTCCCAAGCATGTTAAATACAAATAAACCCACATATAGGCACATCATAGTCAAACTGCTAAAAACCAAAGAAAAAGAGAAAGTCTTGAAAGCAGCCAGAAATAAAGTACACATTACAAATAGCAGAATAATGATAGGAATTGTTACTGGGTTTCCATTAGTAACAATGGAAGCCAGTGATAGTGGAGCAACATCTTTAAAGTGCTGGTGGGGGGGGGGGGACCTTTTCTTCCCAGAACTTTATATGCAGTGAAAATATCCATAAAAATGAAGGCATAATTAAGACATTTTCAGATAAATGATAGCCAAGGAATTCTTCATCAGGAAACTGGCATCATGAGAAATGCCAGTTCTTAAGTCTGAAAGGAATGATACCAGATAGAAACTTGGATATTCAATAAAGAATAAAGAGTCCTGGCCGGTGTGGCTCAGTTGGATGGGCGGCGTCCTGTGCACCAGGGGGTTGCCGGTTTGATTCCTGATGAAGGGCACATGCCCGTGCAGGAGGCGGCTGATCTATGTTGCACTCTCACATCGCTCTTTCTCACCCTCTTTCCCTCTCCCTTCCTCTCAAAATCAATAAACTATCCTTTAAAAAAAAGAATGAGGAACGCAGAAATGGTAATTAGGGGGTAAATACCAAGGGTTATATCCTCTCACTTCCAACTTTTAAAAACTACATATGGCTTCTTTAAACAAAAAAATGATATTGACAGCTATAGCAAAAAAGACAGGGAGTAAATGGAATTATTTTTTGTGAGATAGTTCTATTTTATGTGAAGTGGTGCAATTACCTATTGTTGTTAACAAATGACTCTAAAACTTAGCAACTTAAAATAATAAACATTTATTGTCACACATAGTTTCTGAGGGTGAGGACTCCAGGAGCAACTTAACTGGTTGGTTCTTGATTAGGCTATCCTAAGGTTGCTGTCAGCTGGGGCTGCAGTCTTCTGAAAGCTTGACTGAGGCTAGAGGATCTGCTTCCAGCTCATTCACTCATCCATGTGGCTGTTGGCAAGAAACCTTCCCATGTGGGTCTCTCTATAGGTTTGCTCACAGCTTAAGAGCTTCGTTTCCTCAGTGAATGATTCAAGAGAGAACAACCAAGTTTCTTTTTTTAAAATACTTTTTTTTGTTTTATTAATCCTCACCTGAGGATATTTTTTCCATTGCTTTTCAGGGAAAGTGGGAGGGAGGGAGGGAGAGAAAGAGGGAGGGAGGGAAAGAGGGAGAGCGGGAGAGGGAGGGAGAAACAAACATCAGTTGGCTGCCTCCTGCAGCCCCCTACTGAGGATCAAGCCCACAACCAGAGCATGTGCCCTGACCAGGAATCGAACTGGCAACATTGTGGTGCATGGGACAATACCCAACCAACTAAGCCATACTGGCCAGGGCGAGAAGCCTCATTATCTTTTAAAACCTAATGTTGAAAGTTGCAAACCATGACTTCTGCCATATTCCATTGGTCACCAACCCCAATACAGTGTGAGGGGACTACGTAAGAGCATGAATACCTGGAGACTGGGATCATTGGGGTCCATCTTTGAGGCTGTCACATAGTATATTAATGACAAGTAGACTGGGAGGTTAGGGATGATTGTATTTCTTAGAGCAGCGATTTTCAACTGGTGTGCCACAAGAATTTTTAAAACATGGAATACCTGACTATTGAGTCGGGCACTGACCTCTTTTCCCTTAGATTATCAAATAAAAAAAAGACAACAGCCAACACAACAATAGCTATCCAATGTAAATGAATCAAAATTATACATTCCTGGTCAGTGTGGCTCAGTGGTTGAGCATCGACCTATGAACCAGGAAGTCATGGTTTGATTCCCAGTTAGGGCACATGCCTGGGTTGTGGGCTCCATCCCAGTGCAGGAGGCAGCCAATTGATGATTCTCTCTCATCATTGATGTTTCTATCTCTCTCCTCCCTTCCTCTCTTAAATCAATAAAAATATATCTTAAAAAAGAAAGACAAAAATTATACCCATTTTTGTCAGATCAGCAAAACATGTAACATTTTGGCGTGCCACAGAATTTTAGTAATTAGTTTATGTATACCACAAAATGAAAAGGTTGAAAATTGTTGCCTTAGAGCAACCCTTAAATAATGCATCAAGAAAATATGAAGACAAGCTCTAGACTAGTGGAAAATATTTGCAAAAGAAACATCTGATAGAAGACTGTTAATCCAAAATGTACAAAGAATTCTTATAATTCAACAATAAGGAAATGAACACCCCAATTTTTTAAAAAAATATATTTTATTGATTTTTGACAGAGAGGAAGGGAGAGGGATAGAGAGTTAGAAACATCGATGAGAGAGAAACATTGATCAGCTGCCTCCTGCACACCTCCTACTGGGGATGTGCCCGCAACCAAGGTACATGCCCTTGACCGGAATCGAACCTGGGACCCCCCAGTCCGCAGGCCGACGCTGTATCCACTGAGCCAAACCGGCTAGGGCTGAACACCCCAATTTAAGAAAAATGGGCAAAATACCTGAACAGGCACCTCCCCAAAGAAAATATACATGAATAAATAAGCCTATGAGAAGATGCTCAACATCATGTGGCATTGGGGGATTGCAAATTAAAACAACAGTGATACCCCTACACCCCTATAAAGATGACTGAAATAGAAAACATTGAGAACACCAGATGTTAGCAAAGATATGGAGCAACAGGGATTCTTTTTAAAAAATATATTTTTATTAATTTCAGAGAGGAAGGGAGAGAAAGAAACATCAATGATGAGAGAGAATCACTGATCAGCTACCTCCCACGCGCCCCCCACCCCCCTGGGGATCAAGCTGCAACAGGGATTCTTATTCAGTGCTGGTAGAAATGCAAAATGGTACAA